TTTTTTTTTGTTCTTATCTGGAACTACCTATTATAAAGAAATCTCATAGTTTCCGCAGGTTGTCCATGCAAATCGTTACCTTCTTATCAGCGGTGTGGTCATATATCATTTCCGTTACAGTCTGGTTGAGCAAGCGAAAACTGAAGCGTCTGGTCGTAGTTATATCAGAAATAAAGACGAAGGAAGTTATGGAGCGGTGGCAATTCGATATTCAGACTGAAGAAATGAATGAAGAAGGGTATGTACTATTATGTGTAAGCGGTTTATTTAAGGTTAACTACGACTGCACGATTTTCTTTTTAGTGAAAATTCCATCAGGCAAAAGGATGAAAAGAAAATTAAGCAAGAAATGTCTGATGTGATAAGGTAAGTTTTCCACAATGTATTTGTTTTGCGCCTTACGACTTATTAATATGTTTAAAGCAATATTTTGTCTTACTGCACCTTACTGGTATCCATAAGAACTTCTGTGTGCTTTGCAAATACGATTTTATTTTCAGGCAGATTACTGCATCCGTAACATTCCTGCCTCTTCTTGAAGAGCCGTGCTCTTTCGATGTTTTGATCTACACCGGAAAAGAGACAGAGACCCCAGCTGACTGGGTCGAAAGCAGTGCTTGTCTCATAAAGAATAGCGAGCAGGTACTTTTTGCAGCTTATATGTTTTTCATGTTCAAAACTGCCAAGTACTCTGTTTCGTTACCTAATGCATTATTTTAGGTGCAACTACGGTCGTTTTCAACAGCGGTTCACACCGTCAATACCAATGTCCAGTACAAAGCAGACTTTTGAATTATATAGGTTGTATGCTGCTTTCAGATGTATATATTGCGAGGTTGCCTCAAGGTGTCATTGTCATCAGTATCATACCTATTATTATCAGACTTAGCATATTAACTTTGATGTTTTTGCTTTAGCAAGTCATGGCTCACCTAGTTTACCACTATATTGTTTAAATTGCTAGTATGGTGTTTCTCTCACTACGCAACTCAGCTCTCCGGTACTCGAAATGAGTGTAGGGTCGTCGACTTTCTGACTCAATTCAAATGTATCTGGGTACCTTAATATCGATTTCCAATTACAGTCGGCATCTCCTTTAATGTTCTTGGACTACTACACTTATGCTGTTTATTGCGTAATTGTGAGAATTATCCCTGTGGCAGAGAGCCCAGGAACAATGGCGGCCTTGTCGTTTTGAACGCATGAGCTTGTCTTGTGCATTTTGCAATGTAAATATTTTTTCTTTTTTTGTTTTGAACAAATAAACTAGACAAATTAGAACAAATTAGCTTTTTGATTATAAAGAATTAATGTACATACAAGACTCAAAGATTGGGAAATCCCAAATATGATATTTTAGCATAGAAGAAATCCGAATGTACATAGGAGGGGCTAAAGTTGAAGTGATAACAGATGGAAGTCCAGCAGTTTCAAATTTTATGAATTTCTAACATTTGATGTAATACTTCTGTTGAAACTTTGAGAAAGAATTGTTAATCTTCATATAACTTTGGAGGCATCTGCGCAGAAGATGGATATGAGCTATTGGAAACACTAATCTCCATAAAAATTTTAGACTAGAGAAAATTTAGTGTAATTTGAGCTTTTAATAAATTTAGTTTTGATGGTTTCAAAAAATACAAGCCAACAGTTTGACTTTCTATCACAACTCAGCAGGGGTGACGTGATTACTTCAGCTGTCTATACATTTGTTTGCTACAAAGCAACAAAGTAATTTCCTTTTTTGCATAATCTATTTTTTAGAAAGCTAGCTCTACATTCTTCCTCACCGTTTGCAACTGTATGGACTTGATTGATACTTTATGGACTAGGAAAATCTCCTCTTTACACGGTGCAGTAAATTCAGGTAGCGAGAAGCTCCTCATTTTCTGCGAATAACTTTTATTTTTATTTCCATTTTTTGCTACTGTACTTATTTACTTAATAGTTATACTGAACATTGACCTTTTGGAAAAAAGACTGTCGCGCCACTGCGTTCCGATCATTCAACTTCTTTTCAAAGATTTCCCAACA